GGGGCAATTCTACTCTGTCCTATAGAATGCTGTGAGTTGGAATCGACTCAGTGACAACGGGTTACTTGTTACAAGAATAAATTACAAATAGTCAACTCTGATATTGAGATCAGGGACGAATTATCGAACAGGCAAGGTAAGCACGGTGCTTACCTTGCTTACCAGATCATCTGTACTGAACAATTTCACTAGTTTAATAACTAAGCATAAGTAAGCCCTTGCTTACCTTGCTTACCGAATCATCTGCCCCATCAGGGATTGTAAATTTGAAAAGAGGCTTTGATTCTGTAGGAAGGTACTGTGGGGTTGGACGAGAGACAGATGCCAGCCATACCAGAGGCAGAATTTTTAATGTGTTGAAAAAATGTGAAATTGTTCAGATGACCTGGTAAGCACCGTGCTTACCTTGCCTATTGGATAATCCCCACCTCCCCCCCCACCCGCCCCGGCACCCCGACTGAGATAGTGGCTGTTTTACTGTTGTAAGAAATCATTGCAGAACTCAAGATTCTCCCCCAGCTTTAGCTGAGAAGAGCTTTTTTTATGTTTATAATAACTACATCAATAATATATAATAGCTACCATTTATGTATACTTCCTATATGTGATGTGGAAACCTGGAGTGGTTAAGACCTACAGCTGCTAACCAAAAGGTCGGCACTTCGAATCCACCAGGTGCTCCTTGGAAACTGTATATGGGGCAGTTCTGCTCTGTCCTATACAGTCGCTATGAGTCGGAATCAACTCGACGGCAACAGGTTTGGTTTGGGGTTTTTATATGTGATGTACTCTGCTAAGTACTTGACATGGATTATCTTGTTTAATCCTTAATCAGACCAGTTAGGTAGGCAACATTATTCTCATTTTACACTTGGGGAACCTGAGGCTCAGAGAGGTTACATATCTTGCCCAAAGTCACACAGCTGATGGAGCTGAGAGGCAAACCCAGGTTCAACTCTGAAAGCAAAGGCTATGCTCTTAAACATTATATTTTTTCAGTAATAATAATAGGCAGAACTGATTATTTGTGGTTGTTCTTACAGTTCTCAGTATTTGAAGACACATCCTAGAAGAGTATGAAAAAATTGGGAGGTGGGGAAAGAACCATTTGATATGGGTTTTAGTTGATGATACTGATTTGTATCATTGATTTCTTTGTCAGTTAACCCATCTGAGCCTTAATTTTCTTATTTATAAGGATAAGATGATCTCTAAGATCCTTTTTAGTTCTTCTGCTGTAATATATGATCAGTATATTTTTCTTTTTATTTAAAACAAAAAAGTTTCCCTGTCAAAAAATAGTTTTAAAAGATTTTTTATCAATTAGGGAAAGTTACAAAATAATCGTAGCTAATAAAACTACCATTTATTGAGTGCCTATTCTGGGCCAGGTATTGCCCTAAGTTGTTTATATATATATATTCTCTGTTAATTATCATAAGAACCCTGTGAAGCAGAAGAGGAAATTGAGACACAGGGGATGAAGGCATTTCTCCTAGGCCCCACAGCTATAAGGGCAGGTGCTGCAATTTGCATTCAGGCAGCCTAGCTTCCCAGAGCACAACTTTAAAGCTGTCTCTCTAATATAAAATGGTGGTTGTCATTTACTTGCAGACTTTATTTTTCTTACATTCCACACTATAGAGTGAATAGGAAAAAAGTGGGTGTTTCTTCTAGAAAATAATCCATAAAAGATCACAGGGAGTATCCAGTTGACCCAAAGGTCTCAGAAACATCAATCAGCTGGATATTTCTTGAGCAAGTGAATTAGGCATCTTAGGGAAAATGAAGATGGATAATTGGAAGAAAACCATTGTTTCTTGTTCTTTAAGAAAATGCATCATTGCAATAATTTTACTTCACCTTATGAAGTGGCTTATTGAAGTCACATCTTAAAAATAATAACATATTTTGTATGTTATTTCACTTCAGAAGTTATTACTAATAATGTAGCTTTGGTGGCAGAGGCATAACTAGGGTATGGCAGGTATTGCACTGGTCCTGGGTGCGTGACGCCACTGAGCAGTTTCTATTAACCCAGTATGACCAGCGGCTTATCTACAGAAAATGGTGCCTATGGCAAGCATTGCAATTGCACCCCTGTCCAAACATCTGACACCCCTCTTTTAGATAATTTTACCATAATACCAGCTCAAAATACAAGTCAAGCTCGTAGATCTTTTAATTAACACATTACTATGCTTGAGGAAGGCCATACCTGGTTAACAGAAACTGCTTAGTGGTGTGCCAGTACAATACCCTAGATATGCCACTGTTTGGTGGATATAAAGATATGACTGAAAGTATGCTTTGGTTTGAAGTATTAACTGTCGTTCTTTGAGTTAAAACTCATTTTTTTAATAAAGCAGAAATAAGCTGTTGCTTTTGAAAGTTTCATAAAAAAATGTTTTATTAAGCAAAGAGTATTAGAGAAGTGCTTCTTTTTTTGTTTTGCAAAGAAAACAGACTGTATAAAATTCACATGTAGGTTTGTTATTAATTTGAGGGTGTTTCACTGTAGCAGTGACTCCCTTTGGGAGATACACCTCCACTGGAGGGTAGCCCTGTTAGAATAGAAGGGAGCCCTTGTTAGTTTGAAAACGCCCAAAAGTGATTCAGACTTCTCCCCACCCCAACCTTCTGTTGAGAATCACTGATTTAAAAAAGATTTCATAGCTCCTTTCTCCAAAGCTATCCAGGTACAATATATATATCACCTTAAGGACAACTAAAAAGAAGGCAATAGAACAAGAAGAACCAAAAAAAAAAACCAAACCTGTTGCCATTGAGTCAATTCAGACTCATAGCGACCCTATAGGACAGAGTAGAACTGCACCACAGGGTTCCAAGGAGCGGCTGGTGGATTCAAACTGCTGGTGCTTTAGGTTAGCAGCCGTAGCTCTTAACCACTGCACCACCAGGCCTCCAGAACAAGAGGAAAAAAATAAAAATGACCAAGAATGGAGAGAGAATTCGAGTTGGACAGATAGAAACATTGGTAGATAGCAGTGGTATGATACTGAAAGTCAGAGAGCTCAATTAGTTCTTGCCCTTTAAAATCCCTCATATTTTAGGTGGAGCAGAAGTGTTAATTGGAAGATTTGCTCACTTCTGCCAGTCCTCGCTGTGTTAGTTTTGTCTTTCCAATTAAAGAGGATGGAGACAATATTTTATTCTTCTTTTCAGTCTTCACAACACCTAACATAATAATGCTGGGCACAGAGAAGGTACTTAAAATTTTTTTTGTTATGATTGAGCCCTAACTAAACCTAAGGTAGATTTTCTTTTCTTAGTTTCTAGCCAGCTTTATTAGGATGGAAGGGGGTGATGTAGCTTATCTCTTACCATAACACAACAGAGAAGTTCCAGACAAGCATTTCAGAAAAGACTATCACTTAATTTTGCTTGACAAACAAATGGTTCATCAATGGACTGATATTTTTGTTTCTACATTTGTACTATGTGTGCTTGATGGAATCTGAAAGAGTATCTCTAATAAGCAGGAGTGACCAAGCAGTAACTTCTCTCTCTGTAACTCTGGAAAAGTTAGAGGCAGAGGAAGTGAGCATAGCATGCAATAGTTAACATCACAGTAAGCACTTTTAAACAGTGCAAACAGTGATACATTCGACTACTAGGCAAAAGGCTGGGGGTTAGAACCCACCCAGAGGCACCTGGGAAGACATGCCTTGTATGTCAATGCTTTCAGCCTTGAAAACCTGATGGAGCAGTTCTACTCTGTCACACATGGAGTCACCCACCAAGAGCTGGAATCTGTTCAACAACAACCACCACTTTTAAAGCATTTAAAGATTTTTTTTGAAACTCTATCAAAGTCAAATGTTCAATTTTGGTCTGTCTGCAGATTATCAAGCATACAAGTAACTTGTATTTGTCCATGATCTTATCCTTATAAATACATTTTCTTCTAAAACTATTGTCTTTAAGCTTTAATTTTTTTTCTGTTAATCTGTCTTGTGTTTTATTTTTAACATACTTTACAATTTTTAACATTTTCAGCAGTATAATTAGAATAGTTTGGCATTAATATTTGTCAACAGTGAAAATATATTGCAGTTTAATGAACTATGTAATGCTTATAGTTTTGTTTATTTAAATAGTTTCTACTTCTTCTAAATTCCACCTGAAATGTTTTTGAAATAAATGAAGGTTGAGGAGTGACTATTTTTTATTTTAGAGAAACACATAAAAGAAATACTGATTATACCATATTATAATTTTTTCTATATCATTTTGCCCCAAGAATTTGTTTAAAACAACAGCTATTGGCAGTTACTGATTTCAGAGCACTCAGTATAGGTTCCCAGCATGCCATCAACATGGAACAAATTTCCTTGGCACCCAGACCATCTCATGGGCTTGAGAACTACATGTGCTGCAAGTTTCTCTCTTTAGTTGTTTAACCATTCTGTGCTTCATAATTCTCTAACCATAAAAAGGTTTTCTCCTATTCACTTTAAGTTAAAATTTGGCTTTAGTTTAGTAGTGTATTGGAACTCGGACTCTGTGTTCCCTGACAACTTGATTGGTTGTTTCAGATAGATTGTGTTGGGCAGTATGCCCACAGGCTGACCTAGGGAGAAGGAGATTCAAAACTTCTTTTTGTAATGATTAAATCCTTAAGCGAGAAAATCTGTGAAAACTTTTAACCTTGGAAGAAAATGGTCCGTGAGTTTTTTTAGTTAGTACAAATAGCTTATTCTCTCATGATCCTTTGCTTCCCCCTTTCCCTCATGTTTGATGTATAGAGATAGTCCATTGGGTAAACTATTTTTCTGTTGACAGTGATTAAAATTCAGCTGTTTAATTTCCATCTTTACATTAAGGCCACTAGATCAGGCTTCTGTTTACCTAGTTTTATGGAGTAACTGGAAGTGTATTTGGTTTGTAGTTTTGTTTTGTTTTTGATGAATAGGAATGAATCATGATTATTTCTATGCTTAACTGATTTTCTTGTGAATTTTTTTTTTTAAATGTAGCTTTACCAGGTGATACGGATCAGATACAAATTGAGCCCAATCTATACCTTGCATCTGTATTTACAGGTAATTTTTTTATTTTAAAAATTCTTGAAGCTGGAACTGTTCAGATTTTTTCATTTCCTTGTCATTTCTTTCTCTCATAATAATCAGCATAGTACAGAGACTAATTCAATTTTTTTATTCTTCTAAAATATCTATACACTCACCCCAGGTACAGAACTCCCTTTGTGCATGAAATTAAACTCTCCAAAAGGCATAAGTTAGGGGACAGAAAAAAAAATCTATCATTTTCCTTTGGAAAGTTTATAAAATGTTGAATTAAAAGGCTGCAGGTGTGGTATTCAGAACACTGCGGATAGTACTTGAGATAATTCCATCTGGGGGAGGTTATTTGTTGGGACAGGACAGTGTTTAAACTTTGAAGTCAGTTTTAAACAAAGTGAAGCAGCTGGAATCTGGCGTAAGAAGAAACAAATCTTTCACATTAGCTATTGCTTTTTAAAGGAAAAAGAATTGGAGTTGTTTTTACAGGTGCTGGTATATTTATAGGAGCCCTGGTGATGCAGTGGTTAAAGCGCTCAGCTGCTAACCAAAAGGTCAGCGGTTCAAACCCACCAGCCGTTCCACAGGAGAAAGATGTGGCAGTCTACTTTCGTAAAGACTACAGCCTTGGAAACCCTATGGGGCAGTTCTCCTCCGTGCTGTAGGGTCACTATGAGTCGGAATCAGCTCGACAGCAGTAGGTTTGGTTGGGTTGGGTTGGTACATTTATTCTTTCTATAAGAACTGCCTCGTTTTTATCTTAAATTATAAATTTTAAAACAAACATTTATCAACTCATTTTAAAAAATAGCAATAGTAAATTTAAAAAATGTAACAGGATTTATATGTCTAAAACGTTTTGGGATGAGACTATTTTAAATCACCCTTTTAAACATGAAAGTAACGAAAGAAATATTTAATAGTGACTAATTCTGGAAAGCAAAGTCAAATAAAATATTATATACTATCCTTAACATCAAATGAGCAGGCACCTTCTTCATCGAGACTTGTACTATTCTCAAGCACTGAAGATACAATGTTGCAAAATCTGCAGGGCTGGGTTAAGTATGTGAGCAGAATTGACTACAGCACCATAGCTTAGCAGCTGCTTACACATGGAATTGATGCAAGACTAGATGAGCCCAGGGTAGACAGGAAAAATGCTTCAAGAACTCAATAAAACACAGCTGAAATTCTGCAACATTTTCAGAGGCAGCTGGGAAGCAACTGCATTGCTGGAACTCAGGGCTGTTTTTAAAGACAGGATCTGGTCAGCATGAATCTAAGCAAGCTGTTAGCCATCAGGAACCACCGACTCTCTAGGTAGAAATCAGTTTGGTTCAGCATTAATTCCAATGCCCGCTCCGTTCCCAGAATTATGCCACAGCTTTGTTGGATACAGAGGTAAATAAGACACAGTTGCTGTCTTAACAGGAGCCCTGCTGGCGCAGTGGCTAAGCGCTCAGCTGCTAACCGAAAGGTTGGTGGTTCAAACCCACCAGCTGCTTTGCTCCATGGGAGAAAGATATGGCGACCTGCTTCCTTAAAGATTATAGTCTTATAAACCCTATGGGGCGATTCTACTCTGTCCTGTAGGGTCACTATGAGTCAGAATCGACTCAGTGGCAGTGGGTTAGGGTTTTTTTTTGGCTGTCTTAGCAGAGCATATATTTAATGGGAACAACAGACCCCCAAGCAAACAATAATAATACAAAATGATAAGTGCTGCTAGAAATGTGGATGTGTAAAAAGCTTGAGTGCACAGATGAGGAAGAAATTAATTTTGTCAGTGAAGATTATTAGCAAGAAGGCCTGAGAGAAGGTGACATTTGAGCTAAGCCTAAAACATTACAACAGTGATCATTTATGTAAGGTTGCCTAATGGGTGTATACTCTCTGTTGAGACAGTCTCAGGTTAATTTTTAGCCATTGCATTGTTCGCCTATGTTCATAGTGACAGCCTAGTTATAGATGTTGCATAAAGAATTTTGTTTAATATGGTTAATAGTATGAAAAAATTTATGTATACATATCATGAAGATGTAGGACTCCAGGCCACTTGGCTCAATTGGTTAGTATTGTGCTGATGAAGCCAAAGTTGTATGTTCTCTGCTCTCTTGATCTAAAGAAAAACTCACAACTAGAACTCCTGTTCCTGGCCACTGGTTTAACAGAAACATGCCCTTGGTCACAGGTACTTACTGTGTTCCCACTGTACTAGTTACTGGGAAGACAAAGACTGTAAGTCCTAATCTAAGCTCTTAGGGAATATATTGTCCAGTAGAAGAGACAGACACATGAACGAGTAATTACAGTGCAATTTGTAAGTGCTGGAGTAGAGTTGCTTTAGGAGAATAAGGTGTTCACAATTTACATAAGAGGAACTCCTCATATTTCACCACTGCTGCAGGTTAATTCAGAGAATGTGATTCACTTGCACATGGGCCTGGACTAAGTCAATGATTCTTAAATATTTGGGAGCCACAAACCCTTTTAAGACACTGATAGCTATGACTGCCTGCCTCCCTCCAAAACTAACATTTACAAAAATAATCTGCATAAAGTTTCAGAGTATTCACTGATCGCCAGTGCCCACTCATACATTCCAGGTTAGGATCCTTCATGTACTTAATAAAGATTATTAGATTTGACCCTTTTTCATTTTATTTTTAAATGCACAATTTATTTTAAAAAAATCTTTTTTCCGTAGAAAAATCCAAATTCAGGCAATTAGAAGTTGTCCCACTCTCTATTCATCATCTTATAGACTAACACCATAAAATTCATCTAATGGCTTATGCCGCATTGCAGTTAAGTTAGTCAGAATGAGGAGTTTGAGATGTTGTGTGCCTCTGTGGAACTACCAAGGAAACTTTTGCATTTCTCTTCTTGTCTCGTGTTGTTTTAGGAGACAATGCTTTGTTTGGATTCCTCTTAGTTTGCAAATAACAGATAAATAATGGGTTACCATGTGTTTTAGGATTAGAGTTAGATTCTAAAACTTGCTGATTAAATGGATTATCTAAACCTGAAAAGCTTTTAGAAAGCTATGCTATGTATATTTTAAAAAGACACTTCTTAAATGGACAATAAAAATCCTATCTCATTACCTGTATTACTTAGAATAAATTAGTTTAAACTTTTCTATTTCTTAGTCTTATAAATCCAACATCAAAGAACAGAAAACATAACAAAATTTCTTCATGAATTTTAACTCTTTTAAAAACACAAAATTGCAATTTCAGATGTCTGAAAGTATATTAAAATATGTCTTAGGAAGCTTCAAATGCATGGTTTAATTCTGTGGGATCCCCAGCTTCAAATATATGCTAAGTTAAATGACATCATACTGTAAACCCATGGAATCAAGAAATAATCTTTTTTTTTTTTTAAACCTGAAAACAGCTGTTGAAACAATGACATCATAGAGTAACAACATGACTGTGGAAATATAAAAGTCAAACTTTAAAAGCATCAAACGACATTTAATATAGGTGGAAGAGTTATGCTTGTTTTAATGGTGATTTATTAAGATATGTCTTGTCTCAGTCATCTAGTGCTGCTCTAACAGAAATACCACAAGTGGATGGTTTTAACAAAGAGAAGTTTATTCTCTCACAGTCCAGTAGGCTACAAGTCCAAATTCAGGGCATCAGCTCCAAGAGAAGGCTTTCTCTCTCTG